TGTGTGTGTGTGTGTGTGTGTGTGTGTGTGTGTGTGTGTGTGTGTGTAAATCCTGGCAGTGCCAATACTGGCCATGCATTCAAAGCATGGCTTACAGTCATGCAAAGAAGAGTATCATCAGCCCACAACACCGGCACCTTGCACAGGTTTAAGCAAGGCTTACACCTTACACTTTGGATGGAGCTCCTGGAGGCAGTCCCTTCTACTGTAGCTCCGGCCCCTCACCCCAGAGCCAGTTTTCTAAGAAAGGATCCTGTCACTGAAGAGCGCCCACAGGAGTGGCCCCCGGGGTCACTCTGAAAGAAGGAGGCCATTACGTCATCCTTGGGTGACCACAGACAGGTGGCTCACTCTCTGGATGGCTGGCACAAGATAGCATAGGGGCAGGGCAGGGGAAAGCGCTGGACCCACGCTGTACTGCCTTCTTCTGGGGCCCATCCCTTCTTGTGCAGGAGGGAAACCGAGGTCCCGGTAATCTCCTCTCTTCAAAACTACTAAGAAAACTACAAACACCTGCTTCCCAAGATCCTACTACAAGGCTCTAGTTGCCTAGGTTCCGGTGAGCAGCTAAGACTAGACATGAGCTGGGCTGTAGGCCTCAGCTCAGTGATGGCCTATGGCCCCTGCCCCTCCCCCACCCACTGGGGAGCTGCAGCAGCCAGGCACTCTGGGCTTTCTAGGCACAGCAGCCAGTCACTCTGGGCTTGTCCAGCCCCAGGCTCTGGGCCTGTCCTTCCCCTTCTTAACCTTGGTTCACCGAAGGAGGCCAAGCCAGGCTCCTAACCTGTGTTGGCAGAAAGGCAAGATAAGCAAGCCAGAGACAGATCTGTAGGGCTGGATGGGTTCTGGCAGCTGACGGTCCACACCCAGTTTTCCACACGGGGCTGAGGGAAGTGTCCAGCAGGGAGGCCACAGATGCTGAGTAACCAGCTCTCTCCCGGTGCAATCTCTCCACCCTTTGGAAACAAAGGCCACCTAACTGTGGATGACCTCCATTCATGCCAAACTCTGGGAGAGCTTGCCACCTTTGACACCCCAATAGCAGTGACCCAGGACAGGGCCTGACTGTGTTCAGAGAGGACAGGGATGGGGTCAGAGAAACAAACCTTCCCACCCAAAGTCCCACCCAAAGTGGCCTGAACTGGGCTGTCCCCCAGGATTAGCAAAAGGGAGGGGTCAGTTATCCCCACAAAGGCCTAGGAACAGAAAGCAGGAACAGGATAACCCTAAGCCTCCTCAGGCTCCCTCTACTGAGTTCGCTCTTTGAGGGGAGTCCCACACTCATGACAGGAAGGCTGCCCAACGCAACATGCACAGCCTCCAAAGGGCACCTGCAAAGCACAGCCGCCAGTGAGGAAGAGTTCACGGAGTCCATGTTGCAAGCTCTGTCTCCCTCCCTCCTTCCTTTCCTCTCTCTTCCCCATCACCCACTCTCTCTAGTGCCAGCTAGTCACTGTGGCATTAGGCATGCCCAAGTAGGAGAGAGCCCTTGAGAGATCTGTCCAAGTCCCGTTGCCTCCTCCCTCTCCTGCTCCCCTCGGAGACCTGAGCCACACACACACAAAAGCTGGATAGACTCAGCCAGCAACACTGTGTAGTCTGACACCAGGGAGGAAGGAGGGCAGGGTGCCATGGCAGACACCTGGGAGTAGTGACAGGAGCCTCTGCTTAGCAGCCTCCCAGGAGTGGGCAGGAGTACCCCAGGGCCTGAACAAACCCTGAGAAACTAAACTGCTCACTGACCCCTAGGAAATACCCAGACTGGGGCAGCAGAGTGAGTTCAACATAACACCCCATTAAGCAAAGAACTTACAAGTCTCCATTCTACCCCTATTTAACCCCGTGTTCCTGGCAGACCAGGCACACTCATCCCCAGAATAAGGGACTTTGAAAGGGGTCTATGTTTGGGAAAGTGGCAAGAAGACAGGCTGCCCTGTGAAATCCGCAAGGTTTCTGCTGTCTGTTGCTACAATCTAACACCTAATGGACTACGGCAGCTATGCACTCAGAGGGCAATGTTGGGAAAGGAGGCTTTCCGGGTGTCAGAAAAAAAATCACCTGCTTGGGATGGTGGTGGTGAGGGAGTAGGGGCTATCACCCATCAGAACCAACTTCTTGGATCCCTAACTTCAGAGAAACCATCCAGACCTTGGCTGCGCCACTGGAATTCCCACAGAGCTTGAAACACCTCCGGCCTCTCCTCCGGGCCTCAGTTTCCCCAGCTGGCTTGCAGGGGAGCAGGTCCCAGGAAGGAAAGGCCGCGAAGGCCGCGCTGCACAGCACGGGGCAAGAGGCTGGAGACCTACACCCCTCCTCAGCCCCCACCTTGCGGATGCTGCCTTCGTCCTTCTGCCGGGCCCTGTCCTCGCCAGCGCCTTGGTCATCTGGCCTCTCCTTGAGGATCATCGCCGCCCGCCTGGACGCTGACCCCGAGAGGCCGCGAGCAGCAGGTCTCTCGTGCTCCAGGGAGGACCAGCCGCGCTGCCCGGACTGTCCCCTCCTGGAGAGTCCAACTGACCGGCGCTGCAGGGCGCGGGCCCCGCCTACAAAACTTGGTGCTGTCCAATTAGAGGTGACAACTGCTCCGACAGATGGCAACTACTACCAACCAGAGAGAGACATAGGCGGGCTCCTGGCAAGGGATCCGGTAACCCCTAGCAACCAGGGCCGCTCGCGGAGCAGGGTACGCATGCGCCACGCTAGCTGCTGTGGGTGCGGGAAAGTTACTAGAGCCAAGCAGAGCTAGGGGCGGCGACGGGGCGCGGCCGCGGTCCCTGCAGGAACTTCAGGGCTTTATCTCGTCACCCCGGCAACGAGACCCTCCAGGACTGCTCCAAAAAATGTTTACAATGGGGTTTTTAAACGGTTTGTTAGGGACAAGTGTTTGTGCTGATTCTTGAACAATGCCTGCTTTCTCCCCTGCGCTGTGGAGCAGAGCGCTACTGCGGTCCCCTTGCTTCCAGAACCGCCCCCAGAACCCTCGCCTCCGGGACCTGGCTATGCATTTGTTTCCAGAGCCTGCATCCTCGCTGACCTGCTTGCACCTCCAGAGCCAGCTTGCCTCCCGGACCTCCCGTTTTTAGAATCGGACTTTTCCCAGAACCCGAGCTTCTTACGGGGAGCGCTTCTCGGACTCCACGTAGGCCGGGTTCACACTGGATGAGCTGAGAACACATCCCAGGAGTGAGTAGCCAGCCCTTTCTCAAGTAGCTCCAAAGGTCAACCTCCTCCCCGCTGCCCTCCACCCCGTCACTGCTTGGCCCTACTGCGTCAGCGGCTCAAGTCTCCGTGCCCCACCCGCTCACACACACCTGGCTCTGTCGTCCCCAGGTCTAAATCCTCTCAGCTAAGCTCTGGGACGTTCCTGGACACCTACAGCGGACACTCCCAGAAATACATCTCTCGTCGGCCCCACCAGGCACTCCAAACTTCCTGGCTTTTCCGAGGCCAGGGCATTCTTTCCCCCTGCACCTTCCTGGTGAGCTCCACCTGTCTTCACTTCACCCTCCACTGACATGCTCCATCCCCCCAGCACATCTGCCACCCTCCTGTATAGGCAGCCAGGAAATCAGACCTCTTCCTGTCTTCAGAGTCCTGTGTGCATAGACCTGCTGCACTCACTCAGCGAAGAATGTGCTCCTGAAGTACTGTCTGGTTTTTAAAAAAATATGTTTATTTCATTTTAATGTGTATGTGTGTGTGTGTGTTTGTGCATATGAGTAAGTACAGTGCCTTCAGAGTCCAGAAGAGCATACCAGGTCCCCTGTAACAAGAGAGCTGGGCACAGTGGCACACACCTGTAATCCCAGCACTCGGGGAGGCTGAGGCAGGCGGATCTCTGTGAGTTCGAGGCCAGCCTGGTCTACAAAGCAGGCCCCACTCTCAGTGGTCCTGCAGGACGTCTTAGCCCCGCAGGTAAGGCTGTTAAGAGATGAGGGTGGTGCTCAGCTGTTGAGGGGCCTGAGAACTCCAGGGGTTTTCAAGTGAAAATCCTAGACTCAGCCAAAAATCAGGTCGGAGGAGGCGGGGAAATACAGTTTGGTTGGTAGAATACTCGCCTAGCAGGCATGAAGGAAGCCCTGGATTCAATCCCCAACACTGCATAAAACATCATTAATCCAAGTATAAACAATCTAGAAGCAGGAGGACCAGACATTCAAAACCATCCTTCAGTTAGTAAGTCTGAGGCTAGCCTGGAAAGTACAAGTCTGAAAACAAGCCAAACCAACTAACTAAACAAACAAACAAACAAACATCCAGGTTGAAGGATAGAATAAAGCCATTTTCGGATGGATATGTAGCCTCAACATTTCCCACTACACCTTTTTTTTTTTTTTTTTTTTTTTTTAAAGTTTTTCAAGACAGGGTTTCTCTGTGTAGCCTTGACTGTCCTGGAACTTGATCTGTAGACCAGGCTGAACTTGAACTCACAAAGATATGCCTGCCTCTGTCTCCTGAGTGCTGGGATTAAAGGCCTGTGACATAGCCACCCGGCTCCACTCCCCCATTTCTTAGGAAGGCAACAGAAGACGAAGGTCAACTTCTGAGGTATCAACCCAATAAAGTTGCTGAGGCATTTGACAGCTGGTCCTCAGTGGGGACATTCTGTTCTCAGCGTTTTCTGTTTGCCTCCAGTGGTTACTCCCACTCTGGGAAGAGATGGTTCCGAGGGCCATGTCAACACTCAGCCAGATGAAAGCTGAGGCAGAGAAGACCCTGAACAGGCACCCTACCCAGGAGAGTTCTTCAGCGAGGGGGCAACCAGGCCTGTGGACTACAAAGCAGAATGACATGGTTCAGGAAGTTGAAATTGGCAGAATACTTGGTGTGTCTCAGTTGACAGGGGAGCTTGGAGTGAACTCATGAAAAGTATATGAAAGGTGGTTGTGAATTCCAGGGAAAATTAAAAAGCTAGGAGGAAGCAGTGGCACATGCCTGAAATCCCAGCACTCAGGGAGGCAGAGAAAGTCGGATCTCTGTGAGTTTGAGGCCAGCCTGGTCCACAAAGGGAGTAAGCGAGTTCAGGACAGAAAAACCTTGTCTTGAAAAACCAAAAAAAAAAAAAAAAAAAAAAAAAAAAAAAGCAAGCTAGGAGAAGAGGAGAGAGCTCTGCCAGGGTGTCTGAGGCCAGAGGGGAGTTCTATATCCTGCCTCATTCTAAACTTCTTCATAGCCGGGAGTAAAGAATCCTTCAATTTCCATTTCTTTTTCAAGGAGTGAGTCTATGCAGCCTGCCATACGAAGTAATCAGTAACCGGCAGCTTATGCAACAGAAACCCATGTCCTAGCAGGCTCTCAGGCTCCTGAGAAAGGTCTCTCTGGCCTGGAGAATCCGACAGAGGATGCCCATGTTTTTTACCCTGGACGGTACGATGGTCAGGCCCACCCCAAGAGCTGTGCAGTTTCCTGGGGCATCCTGAGAGTGACAGGGAGGAAGGGCCTCCAGGAAGTCCATGCAGGACCTGCTCCTCCTCCATTCTGATAGGGCAGGAAAGTTTCCCCCAAGTCACCTTGAATGAGATAAGTCAGCTAAACTTGATCAAGATCATATGGAACACAGGCGACTGCACACGAGAATCTTCACAGTGGGGTTCTAGGAAACCAGGTGGGGATGGGATCCCAAGCACCTTGTAGCTTCTAGTCATGGTAGCAAGGAAACAAATTATATTTATTATCAAGTCACTGGACTCTTTAATCTGAAAACCCCAAGAAGTTCAACCACAAAACAATTATAACTAATCGGACAGTTGAGTAGGGCAGCCAGTTTTAAGCCGGATCATGGACTTGAGTATCTGTGTCCAGCCCAGAGGAGGTGAAGCCTATCTCCTCTCCCCTATGGGATGCCAAGAAGAAGGGGCCTTCTGGGTCAATGAGGGCTGGAGGAATTGCAGCTGGGCCAGTGCCTCCTAAGAGAACTGACAGCTCTCTATACCCTCGGGGGAGGCCGCACCCCAAAGGTTGAAGCTGCAAATGGGAAGGGTCCCTCCCCAGGAGCTGAATCTGCCGGTACTTTCCAAGAGCTGTGGGGAAGGAGGTTCCTGTTGTTTAAGCCTCCCCATTACCACCACTTGTTACTGCAGACTGACCAGACTGATATGACACAGTACAATTGCTTTAAGAGAGAAAGGAAGAAAGAAAGAAGGAAAAAAGAAAGAAAGAAAGAAAGAAAGAAAGAAAGAAAGAAAGAAAGAAAAAGAAAGAAAAAAGGAAGAAAGAAAGGAAGGAAGAAAGAAGACATGGACATATTTTGCAGAGTATTTGATCCCATTGTGAACCCCAAAATTGTGAACTGTAAAACACTGCTTCTTGCTTGGTGTGGTTGAGCCCTATCACATTCCTTTTATCCAATAACTTTCTGTTTAATGTAAACACCCAGCCCTAACAAACACCTTTAATCCAAGAGCTTTCTGTACACAGGATTTAATAAAGTTAACCCTAGGTCAAGAGGCTGAGGAAGAAACCAGCTGACAGGGATTAAAGAGTAGGAGGGACTTTGAGTTGAGGGGTATTTAAGAAATCGTGAAGAAAAAATTGAGCTTTTTGGGCTTTTAGCTCTATAGCTTAGGCTTTAGCTCTCTGACTTTTTGGGCCTTGAGCTAGCATGCTTGTGGCCCTGGTTTTTTGTTTTGTTTTGTTTTGCCTTTTCCTCCTGGCCTGTCAGCTGAGCTAGTGGGCTTTTTGGGGTTTTTCCATCAGGACTTTAGCTGAGAAGGACGGTCACCTGGGTGTTTTCTCTGCCTCTCTGAGCTAGCAGGTTTTCACCACAACATCGGGCTCTTAAGTCTTTATTGGTAAAATAGAATGGCTGGGATTTTCATTTTTAAAAAACAGCAGAAATAGGATATTCATTCACAAATGTGAAATAACTATAGCTGTCTACGGTATTTCTGTATAAGAAATACATTCATAGCTGGGTGTGATGGCACACACCTTTAATCCCAGCATTGGGGAAGCAGAGGCAGGTGGATCTTTGAGTTCGAGTACAGCCTGGTCTATAGAGCTGATTTCCAGGACAGGGCTACACAGAGAAACCCTGTCTTGAAACAAAACAAAACAAAAAACTCAAACAACAAAACCCAAAACAACAACAAAACCACCTTTGAAGTAGACATATGGAGTTAAGAGTAGTCACAGTGGCCCCTAAAACCACACAAATGTGGACGCAATGGCAGTGTTCTGAACACAGCTCAATAAACACACCAGCAGAGGCTTCTAAGACAGTACCTCACGATACAGCCCTGGCCGGCCTGGAACTCTCTCTGTCAGAACAGAGATCCACCTGCCTCTGCCTCCAGAATGCTGGGATTAAAGGTGTGTATCAACCATGCTGCGATTTATCTCTTCATAACTATCAGAATAATTTGCTAGCCAGGCCGTGTTTTGGGGTTCAACATACAACACAGTCACAACAATAAGCTGGGTTTTGGCAGGGAGACCTGTGTTTGGCCTCCAGAACTTCTCTATGTAAAGGTAGGAAGGGAGAACAGACTGCTGGGG